TCTACTTGAATGACCCCCAGATGAACATATTGAATCATACGTTCAACAGACCTTAAGAACTCAACTATTTCCTCAAGAGAATCTAAAAGAAGAGTTCAAATTATTTAATAGTTTTATAATACATTGTGTATAAAATGCGATTAATATTTAACTTTTATGTTAGGCCATAACTTTGTACTCGTTTAATTTAAGCTGCAATCTATTTAATTATCACTTCAATGTAAACAACAATTAATTGTATGCTCCAATCATTTCGACGAATGAAAAATTTCATGTTTCAATATCGTCCAAATAACTTAAGCAAATAACGACGCATGAGCCGTTTCAGAGATTAATTCTAGTCAGCATACTATCAGAAGATAAACAGAAAACAAATGTGATGAGTTTGCTGTCGTATTTAATTTAAATTAATTCAAACTTCTGGTCCATTATTCAACAACATTTTTATCTCATTTAGATAAGACTATGAAAATTGTAGATTCTTCTTAATCTGGTTTTGTTCTATATTCAGACATTGACAGAAAACTTTGTAAAGTTAAAAGCTAAAAAACTAGATTTGTCAGCGCAATTTCATGAATGGAAAATATAAGAAACAACCGTTAATAATAATATCTTCTTTTGCAGATGACAGCAAATATATATTTTTTGTATGCAAAATTACAGAAATAATAACACTTACCGCCAATCATAATAAATATCTCAATAAATGCATGCAGATAGATATATCTGTTTACATCAAAGTGAATATTCATATTATGTTTATATATCCCAATTTCATTACAATCGATCAGAAAGCGGATTATCTGATTAATGTAAATGATATTAGTATGGCCATACTTATTGCACTTATACATGTACACTTGAATGAACGCGTATTGCATTTGTACACATTAAAGGAACTCCACTGATGTCCAAAAAGTATAAAAACATAGAATTTGATTTTCAGACAAAGATCAACTGGGGCACTTGAAACAGAATGAAATGCTTTTGATAATTAGGAAAGATACTCGAAAAATCGTATTTTTGTGCAAGGCGGTGCAACGCTTTTCAATTTTTGGCCTTTCTCTCAGTAAGAATAGATTAATTGGATGATCTAAAGTTTTGCACACGTGTTATTAGTCTAGACCTACATCAAATTGAACATTAATATCGAACAATTATTTCCAGTCCCGTGATGTCAAAAATAAATAAATAAATAAGTCAGTGAGGAACCTTTATAACGGTTATCGCACGATACCTCATTGTCAAAGTCGGTGGTCCATACTATAAGAACTACCTACATGTTACCTTTACCAGGACAATATTTAAATCCTGAAGATTTGTTTATACGACCATATCAGATCTGAACAGCCCATTTAAATCCCTTTATTTTACCCTAAAAACAAAAAATGTACGTTGGTAAATACGGACCCATTCCAAACCTAGATATAGGGCAAAAATGACCACAGATGGAAATCAGTCTAATGATCAATGACATTGTCAAATTAGTCGGAAGTTGTTGTATAATTATATAATATATATTATAGCATAAAATCGGCTATTTTTCCCTCTTTTGCCCATGTTATAACGGGGCCAAAACCATGCGTTAACATAGTCACGCGCTCTTGTTATAGCCCGGTTTTATCTATCCGCAATACATAGAGGGCCCATTAAACAAACAAAAAATAACGATTTGGCCTGTTTGCCAGAATCATGCGCTCTTATTATATTGAAATTATTAATTCGAGGGCCTCAGTCGCATAACGGCGAGCAGCATTCAAGTAATTATGCCGGCAATACGGCGTATAGACATCGCCGCTTATCTTGGTTGTCGCCCTTTCTTAGAAACGGACAGTTGTCAGTGTAAACAAACATAATCTGTCATTCAGTTTAAAATCCCCAGATTAACTTACAAAAATGGAAAGCACAAAATGAATATAAGAAAACGTTGTTTTATTGACGTTTATATTTATATATAAATGTTCTGTGTGTTTCTTTGAGAGAATAATGTTTTATGCCTGATTTTTTTTTAACTTGCGTGCTTAAAAAAAACCGATTCTGAAATTGAATCTGATGTCACTGATCTTTTTCCTACCGCCAATCTGTAATCATTCTAGGAATTTCTGAGGCGCCTGTTTTGTCTTGAGTAGAGTAAGGTTATGTTTTTCTTAAGTTATTATATCTCCAAAGTTAAACTTTGTTAAATCAATTAAAATTTGAAATTTCGTTCGGTTCTCAAGTTGTTGGCCCCGGAAAAAATAAAACGCATACGTAAAACATGTAGAGTTGGATAAATACCGTTCAAGCACACGGATTTAATGTTTGTGATTTATATATAATATACATAATGAATCTGTTTTAAAATTTTATGCTATAATAGCGTCAACGCACGTTTATTTCGTGTTATAAAGTCTGCAGAGTCCCTCGGAACTGTTGGAGCCCTCGCCCTCCCGGGCTCGGGCACCAACCGTACCTCGGGACTCTGCAGACGTTATAACACGGAAAAACGTGCGTTAACCCTATAGTGGTAATGAAACGTCACTGCAGTGTGCGTTGCCATGTGTAGTTAGGAATTGAAAGTGACTTCGTCCTAACTAAATTGTAGTCTATGCTCTTGTGGTAATGGTTTGCAAAGAAAATGAACACAAAAATAGACCTAAAAATTTAAATAATTAAATTAAAATAAATAAATAATAATAAATAATAATAAATTGACATCGTCATTAAAGCTGTTAAGGAACCAATGATATTGACATGACTTGAAATAGAACAACAACAATAACGTATTCTGTTATACGAATAGTCCAAGATCTCAAATTGTACTACGCATAAGCAGACAAGACTTTTTATAGTGTACAATTTCAACGGTTACACAACAGCTTGGAAATTTCGATTAAATGACGACTTACACTTTATACTTCGGACCTCATTAGAGATGATATAGTGCATGTGTATCTCATCCATCAGGGATTGTGAAATCGAGAATTTAGACTGAGATGTGACTTATTTATTACAAAATATAGGACGAAAACTCACTAGACCTTTCCAATGACCTTAACAAATATTTGTGTTTACCTATCATTATGTTATGTGCTAATTGGTATTACTTTCTACATAATAATTGATATAACTGATACCGCAGCTCGGATATCAAAAATGGAGAATAGAATTATACCAAAGAAAGGAAGGTCATGCCCTTTCCATAAATGTTTTAAATGAATCACGGATATAAAGGTTATAAACACGTGTTTTGTTTGCTAATTCGTTTTAATTACCTTAGTTCACATGATCAAAGGTAGGTGGATTTCTATACTTTAATTGATTCTTGGACAAATACTGATGGAATCTGATAGTAATAATGTGGAAACAACAGGGCTTTTTGTCATGTACACTAGACCAAATCCCTAGGGAATTTGTACTCTTGTTTATTTACTTTTTTTTAAAATATCCAAATTGTGTATAAATTATTTGATACTTGTATTTGTGATGCATGTAGCTTGACTCTATATAACTGTATTCATATATGTTTTTTGCCAAATTGGTCTAAGACTTTCTGGATGAATGATACATGAACTTGTAAACTTGTGTTTAACGACTTCCTTCAAGTTTTTTTCATTTTCACCAACAATGCAAACAAAATCTTTGGATTCTGAACCCGCTCATCGAAAACAATGTGTATAGAATAAATTCGTTTTCATTTAACCACATATTACTTTAAATTAATATCATCAAAACATTGTCTGGCAACCAGTGATAGTCGTAATAAATTACATTGTTAATTGGCAAAACTTTCAGTGGCATTGGTCAAAATAAAAGCTACAAAGCTAAATGATATTATGTCCATTCAAACAAAATATTAAATTCCCGTACTCTTTTAATTTACGCAATGTAATTGTACACCCAAATTGAATGTGGCAAAATTGAATGTGGCAACATAAATATTTAGTAAATTTATTACAACAGTTATTACATTTGTTACAACAGTTTTATCACTACATTCATCAACTCAAAATTACTGACTGTTTTTTAAACTATTTATTGAATACATTTATGATTTCGATAACTATCGCAAGAACTTGTTATATAACCCCGTGTTTTCTTTAGAAATATATAGCGCTGATTTTGAGATTTTTAAGTGAGTAATTTTATTCACAATCTAAAATTCAAAGACAACCAATATTCAATTTTTGTTGCAATCATTCAAAATATTGTAAACAAAAACTGTGGCAGTTATTTAAAGATTAAGATTTTAAAGCGGGCGCCGAGATTTCCTTTCCGAAATAATAATATTAATTCTTTTCCGGTAAATTATAATAAGGTATTTTTCCATTAAAAAACATCTTTTTTACTACACTTGAAGCTTATGATATATTATCCTTAACTTTCATTGTACAGCAAACCTTTGAAAATTAATTGATTAATAAAGTATCTAAAGAGTGCACTGTTTTTTACCGGATTTGAGAGTGTTTGACGGAGAAAATTGATAAGCTTTTAAGCAAATATTTTGCTACTTCTACTTATTTTTTATTTTATTTTTAAGGTATTATTAGAAATATTTAGAAGTAATCTTTCATTTGATATCAAAATTATTAAAATTGATTGTGAAAAAAGAGTGCACGTTTTTTTCCTTCAGTTTTATTGAGAAAAATGGGAGAGGCGCCGGGTTTTATACCTGTCCGCGTCTGCAACTTAGACCATACCGACAATATGGCGACTCCCATTGAATCTGAAAATGGCTCAACAACAAAAAAGGTGAAAACAAGAGACGAGAATGATGACATTTTTATATCGTTTCTTAAAAATCATTTGCAAACATTAGAACATGCATTAGCATATATTCAAAGTAGCCTGTCTGGTTATGGAGTTGGAATTTTAAAGATAAAAAATTGCGATGCTTTAAGTTCCAACATTTTTTCTAGAGCAACTTGTGACTATGAATATCAGCTGCGTAAACCCGGCGAAGAATATTCTTCTGCACCGAAGGCTTTAAGATACGTGGTATTTTTCAAAATGGATTTAAAATGTTGGAGGATTACATCAAATCTCCAGAAGGAAAACCACCATCGAGAGGCTCAAGATTGGCGTTGGCAAAGTTGCTGAAGTTTTTGTCAGATAAAGGTATGGTAAAAAGGGGCATTGTGTCGTGATGTATATCACATCTAAATTGATAATGATTCACTGCAAAATTATTCACCTGGCTAATATGAAATTAGGTGCTACCTATGGCATGGAAAGCTCTTGTGATGTATGATTCAAGCATTACATGTTTAGTGTTCAACTTCATATAAACCAGACCTTTCTTTTACTTCGTAAATAAGTAAATGCAGGCATTTTGTACCTGAGGTCTTCCTCCACCAGTAAAGCGGGAACGTCGCCATATGACGTTTAATGTGTCGGTGTGACGTTAACCCCTATTGAACAAACAAACAAACATTCACTTCATACATGTTGTCTAAGAGCGCTACTGCCCTCGCGGGGCCGGTGGCTGTAACTGTTAGTGGCTGTTCATTTGGGAAAATCTTAAGGGCACATAATGCCTCAGAAATCCATATACAGTCGAACTTCGTTCCCTCGAACTCAAGGGTTCTGTGCATATTAGTTAGAGAGATTGGTAGTTCGAGCCAACCGTGGTTGAACTATTAAGTATTATCATGTAGGACATAGGCTTAAACGTTCTCCAGCTTACACCAGCTGAATGATAAATACGTCCGTATAATTGTTTGTTAGCACATCAGTTCAACGAATACGTCATTTCTTTTAAATATTAAGAATTATTATCCCAGTGTTTTCAAATGAGTATTAACGGTACACTGTGTTTTAATCTATATTCATGCATATTGTAAATGGTTGAGTTGGATTGGGCAATTTCCAATCTTTTTGAACAATATTCAAAATATATTTATATGTGTATTATGGGATAAAATGAATTTTAAATAATGAATTAATTAGATATCAAAAAAAAACACATTTAACAGCAGCATTTATTTGTAGTCATTTAATAAAATAAACACACATACAAATATCATTCTATAGATATTCACGTAACATGCACCACGGCTGTTATTAAAGCCGTCCGGATAAACATGAACTTTTGATTGACATGCACATTTCACTGATTTCATCTAAAGACGGCAAATAAACAATATTATCATAACAAACAAATCTGTTACAACACCTCTAAATTTGTATCAAATAACCTTTATTGCCTTTTTCATGATCACAAGGTGTTTAAAACATGTGTCGCCGGCTGTCATTACCAACAATTTTTGTTGTCTTTTTGTGTTTGACCGAAAAGGTGTGATTTTATATATTTCTGCCCAAGGGACAAGCGATCAGGTTCGATAATATCAGTGTTGGAGCGATCCGAGGTAGAACAATATATACTATATAGGAATTTTGCCGGGACTGGGCGATGAGTTCTAGCAAAGGGAGGTATTCAACCAATCCAAGTTGGAGCGAACAAAGTTTAACTGTTGTTTAATTCTTTTGAAATGTTAAACATGTGTTGAATAATGTTTTATTAATGGATTGTGTTAGATGTTTATTAACTAAAATAAAAAAAGTTTTTGAGAAATAAAAATGATAACATGTCTGAGGCATAATAGACCTATTTCGGAAGTAAGAATATTTTGGTTTTTCCCGGCTTATCCGTAGGTACAAACAAGCTTTTACTGTTACAGCTTCGAAAATAAGTGCAACAGGTTGACTAATCTATTGTGACAGGTAGTGTATTGTGAAGCTATACTGGTAAAAGTTTATTTGTACCTACGGATAAGCTGGGAAAAACCCACATTTGCCAGTTCCAGACAACATTTATTAGCCTTTAATTGTTCATCTGTGTTTTCAGGCTCGTCAGAGAAGGCACTTTATCAGGGCAGAAAAGATACCAGTGGAGCTGAATGGACTACAATTGTGGCACATTATCTGCTTTCAAAGCTTGCAGTTTGTTCCAAGTATACATTAGACAGTCACAGTTTTAGCAAAGGGAGGATTAAAGAGTTATGCTGTGGTTGTGGCTGCAAGGAAAGATTATCAGGAGATTATATTATATATGGGGATACATCTATAGGTAACTGGCAATATACTAACTTTTGATTGTAGGTCATTTAGAGGTTCCCAAGGTTCTACATTTGCATGAGTGATACCTAGGGAGGACTTTCAGGACCTACTTATTGTCTGTCAGCCATCCTTTTCTCCATATTTATGACCAATGCATAACTATTAACATGCACTGATGAAGAACCTAAAGTCTATCTGGTACCATTCTTTAATTACATGTATTTCCCTTTATTTAATTTCTTGAATTTTTTCTTTTGTATTTTTTCCAGAGCATACCTCTAAAACCATGCAAGTGACTGACAAAAAGCTTTAAATTATACCCAGTATATGCAAATCGCATGTAAGAGAAGTACAGTGGCAAAGAACTATTACTCTGCCTTGTCAGTCCCTGACTGGTTTAACCAGAGGTGACTTTAGGTTTACCCCTTGTCCGTCTGTTCATCAGTCCACATTTAAATCCCGTGTTAACACAAAAAAAACTGAACATTTTTTTTACGAAACTTGAAATATGTGTAGATGGCAGTCTGGAGATTATGATTGTCTTTTTCTTTGTCTTCCTATGTTAAAAATTCTGTTGCTATGACAACAAATAGACTTAAAATATTGCAAATATAACACAAAAACTTGATCTGTTGATAACACAAAAAATACTGAAAATATTTTTATGCAACTTGAAATATGGATAGATGGTAGTCGAGAGATTATGTACATCTTTTTCTTCTTCCAATTCTGAAACATTTGGTTGCTAGCCTATGGCAACAAATAGACTTAAAATATAGCAAAAATAACAATATTTATGATAACTCAAAAAGAACTGAAAATATATATTTATAAAACTTGAAATATGGATAGATGGTACGCTGCATAAAGATTATGCGCATCGTTTTAGGCTGGACTCTAGGTAGTATATTGAGAGTTGTCCTACTCAACTTGTGTTGGCAACCGAGTCCAGTTTTCTGATAAAAGTTTTTATGCAGTAAATTTTTTTTTCTCTATAACTTCTTTATTAATTAAGGTATTTACTTCAAACCTGAAATATATGTTCCTGATCATCAACCATATCATGTGTGACAAGGTTCCTAACTCTAGCACCAAAATTATCAGAGTTACCCCCCTTGAACTTAGAATTTTCATGAAAAACATGTAATTTTGGTTTTTAAAATGTCTTTCTTCTATCTACTTCAAACTTCAAGTTTATGTTCCTTATTATCACTAAAATCATTTGTGAGAAGGTTCATTACTCTAGCTTGACTATTTTCAGAATTATGTCCCCCTTTAACTTAGATTTTTTTCTATAAATTAGTATCTTTTACCAAAACTTCAATTCTTTAAGGATTAACAACTTCAAATCTCACACTCCTGCATCATAATAATGTGATAAGATTTATAAATAGCATCCTTATTTCCAGAAATATCTTACACTTTAAATGATCCTTATTTTTTATAACTTTCTTATTTCTTCATTTCTTTATTTTTAAATTTCAAATATACATGTATTATTCATTATCAAGACCTTCATCGTTTGTGATAAAATTATTGTCTAGCACCTGGGTTTCCATGATTATTTTCATTTTGAACTTCAAATGTATTTGAAAATTGTTATTTTTCTCTTTTTCAATATTTTTTTCTTTGTTTCTATAAATGGTATCTACTTTAGACTTAATTTAATTGTACATGTACTTTGTCATCACTCACATCATGTATGACAATGTTCATAAGTCTGGCATCTTTATAGCAAGAGTTATCTCTTCTTTAGTTTAAGGATTTTGCTTTTAAAAATGTTATATTCTGGTTATAACCAGGAATATTTAAAGATTTAGCCTTTGTTAGTCTAAGATCACTTGTAAAGAACTTGGAAGTCTTCCAACAAAAAAGGAAAAGTTTAAAATATTAGTTATACATAATATTCATCCTGAGAAAACTGGGTTTTTTTTATTATCTGTTGTATAAACAGGATTTCATTATTAGGCGACAGGGAAACTTAACACATTACTATGAATGTGATACAGAAACAGACATTTACTAAGAACTCAAAATATTTAAGTTTGTTCATGTCTTCCACAGTGGTATAATTAAATGGCCATGGCGCTTCAGAATGTTGCTGGGGGACTTTTGTATTGCTTGTAATAATGTAAGGCTGGGGGGGGGGGGGGAGCGGGGCAGTCTACCCTGTCTGTATGAGTGTATGCATGCCTTAAACTTGTGAAATAAGAAAAGAGACTCCTTGGAAATATTTTTTGAGATTATTTAAAATGTTCCTTGTTTGTAAAAGTTTTATTTTATTCTTCAGGTGTTCCATCTTACTGGCATGGACGAGTTGACATTCGGATGGATGTTGCCGTGACTGTGGCCACTGAAGATCCTGACTCACAAGGTGCAGAAAATAGTTCTTTTTCTGTTGATGTGGAATCTCCATCTGAGAGGATGATGATGTGCAAGGAACAAATAAGGGCCAGAACAATAGTGTTTTCATTTTTGCAACAGAAGAACCAGCCTGATCTGAACAATTTTCTAATTCCCACCATTGCAATGTCTAAATCCAAGGTTGCAGTTTATTTATATGACTCTGAGAATGATATATTTCTTGAAACCCCTTGTCTTGATCTCTTCCTAGGAGATGAATTTTTAAAGGTAGAAACAATAATCACTCTTTGGTTGGTTTTGAACTTTAAATACTGCTGTTCGGGCGTTCCAGATGAGATCTTGGAACTTGGTTTTACGGCAGATTTCTTCAAGCACACTGGTCCTCATTTGGAAAAGTATATTGCTAATGTGAATGCGCCTTGTAATTATCAACCTGAAGACAAATGGCTTGCACTTAGTGTTCTAAAAGACGTCAAACATAAAGTGCAAGGCATTAACAACATATAAGCCTTCATAATAACAGAAAGTGGAAGATATGAATTGTAAATTTCCTTACTGATCTGGAGAAAAGTTACAAAAAGAATAATGCATTCCCATAATTATGTGAGCTAGAAAAACACGAAAAATGAATTACCGACACACTAAAAACTAAAAACTATAGAGTGACTTGATTGTATAAAAGTATTTAAATGTAAAAAGTTACATGAAATTAGCAAAATATAACAACTGATGAACAAAAGTTATAAGAAAAAGGAATGTGTATATAGTGGCGATGTTAATCTAGTCAATTTCCTCATTTGTTACTTCCCCAATATCAGGAATGCAAGTTTTTGATAGATAAACTGTTAAATTTATAGGAATTTTCTTCCACAAGCTTTTTAGCTCACCTGACCACGAAGTGATTATGGTGAGGTGTAGTGATGGGGTTATGTTCGGTGTCCGTCATCATGCTTTGTGCGTCATGTGTCATCAACATTTGGGTTGATAATACTCACCTATACTTAGCAATCACATTTTTGATTGGATCATGATCAAACTTTGTCAAGATGTTTGTCTCAATAAAAATATAGATCAAGTTCAAAAATGGGTAATTTTGAGTCAAAAACTAGGTCACAGTGGCTGCAGTTTTGATCCGAATATAATAGTTCTTCTGTGAACACCCAAAAAGTGACTGAATTTCAAGTTTACAAAAGATTCATCATGATAATTACTTCAGTAAATCATATGAGTAATGAAAATGAATTGTAAACATATTTCACTAGCTATATGTATAATAAAATAAAGTCAAATATGGCTGAAAACAAAATATGTTTTATAAAGCTTATTAATAAGCATATGAGTCAAAACCCAATTATAATAACCAGATCACAATGACTTTATTGTTACTCTATAATTTCCATCCGTTTTGAAACATTTTCCTCATGTTCTTCACATTGCTGCCTGGCATTTTCTGCAGTCATCTGATTTACAGCTGGCATAATCGTCTTTTCAGCTATATCAAACTGTGCTTTCTTCTCCTTTTTCTCAATCCTTCTCAATACAAGCTGCCTATTTCATTCCTTGCCTGCATTCCTCATGTATACCGTCATTCCCTTCCTTATCATGTTTAAATATCTTGTTTAAAATGAAGGTTGTTTAACTAATGTGATAATTTACATTTATTAGTCCCCTACCGGTTTACCGGAGGGGACTTTAGGTTTACCCTCCGTCCGTCCGTCTGTCTGTCTGTCTGTCTGTCTGTCTGTCTGTCTGTCTGTCTGTCTGTCTGTCTGTCTGTCCGTCTGTCTGTCAGTCCGTCAGTCCGTCAGTCCGTCCGTCCACAAAACTGGATCCCGCGATAACTTGAAAAGTACTGAAAATATTTTTATGAAACCTGATATATGGATAGATGGCAGTATGGAGATTATGCACGTCTTTTTCTTTTCTTCCTATGTTGAAAATTCTGGTTGCTATGGCAACAAATAGGCTTAAAATATGGCAGATTTTACACATAAACTGGATCCAGTGATAACACAAAAAGTACTGGAAATATTTTTATGAAACTTGAAATATGGGTAGATGGCAGTCTGGAGATTATGCACGTCTTTTTCTTTTCTTCCTATCTTGACAATTCTGGTTGCTATGGCAACAAATAGACTGAAAATATGGCAAATTTTATACATAAACTGGATCCTGTGTTAACGCAAAAAGTATTAGAAATATTTTTATGAAACTTGTAATATGGGTAGATGGCAGTCTGGAGATTATGCACGTCTTTTTCTTTTCTTCCTATCTTGAAAATTCTGGTTGCTATGGCAACACATAGACTGAAAATATGGCAAATTTTACACATACACTGAATCCAGTGATAACTCAAAAGTACTGGAAATATTTTTATGAAAATTGACATATGGGTAGATGGCAATCTTGAGATTATGCATGTCTTATCTGTTCTCCCTATTTTGAAAAAATATTGGTTGCCTTGGCAACAAATAGGCTTAAAACATGGCAAATATAACTTTATTTGTAATTAGTCAAAAAGAGCTGAAATTTTTTTATGAAATTGCATCTTTAATTCAAGAGTTATCTCCTCTTTAAGAATGTTGCTTTTAAAAATGTTATATTTTGGTAACAGGGATGTTTCAAATATTAACTTTAGAGTGTCCTTCAGTCCGCCTGTCTGTCTGTTCATAAAAACTGTTTCCTGTGATCACTTTTAAAGAACTTTTCCAACAAATTTACTTAAGATATAGAAAAATTGAAACATTAGTGAATGGCCAATGGCCCTTCAGAATGTTGATGGGGTTCTAACCGGTAGGGGACTTATGGATTGCTTGCAATACTATGATAATTGCTTGTTTATTATGGAATCATGCGACATTGAATAGCATGTTATTACATGCTAGTTAATTTTGTGTTTCAACATTGAAAACATGCGATTTGTAATGTTGGGGTTACTGATTCAATCACCGAGCAATACAAAATGTCACAGGCAAACCTTGAAAATTGATTGTAATGGTCATTTAGTAGCACTGATTCTTTTTGGTAAGTACACAGTTACTCAGCTGGGCCCCGTAACTCTTATCTCTAAATTCTAAAGTCAGGGCCGTTAATGAAAATCGTAATGAAAACACATGTATGCACAGGGTTTACCCTTGAAATAGCTTGTTAATATGCCAGACAGGTACAGTAATTAAATTTATTAGGATGATCGAGATTATATATTTAACAAAATGTTTTTCAAGACATGGCCAAATGTTTTAAAAGTAGCAAAAATTATATAGATAAAAAAACAAACAAATACAAAATAGTTAAAACAGTTGCTATTACACTGTCAAGTTGTATATTTCCTTGTTCCAGGACGGTAGTGTTCACATAGTAGAGAAAATAACGTTGACAAAAATACCTTAATATCATTTATGTAACATAAAGACAAGGGGCCAGAGCTGCAAATAATTGAAACTGTTTCATAGACTAAAATCTTGACATTTGTTGTGCTTTTGGAATCAACCAAATGACATTTCTATGCTAAAAGTCAATCATTTTGTGTGAAAAACAGATTCGCTTTCAAAGTTTCTGACACTAATGCATTTGTTTTGTCGCGTTTTAGAGTTTCGTTACATGTGTAATTGTAAACTTATATTCCTTATAATTAGAAAAATAAACCTATTAAGTTATGTACAGTATCGTCTTCATGTACAATGGGTGAATTCAATAATTGGACTAATAAGTTTGAATTTGAACTACATGGATTTTTTTTCGAAAAATTAATAGAAATAATAAATGTACTGTTACTCATTACTAGTAATTGCACTCAACTGTTCCCCGAGCTCGGCTTGATGGCCTTATGTTCCGATATGCCGCAACTAAGAAGATGTAGAACCTAATTCTCTCTTCTTTTTCTTTCAAAAGTCATGTTGCTGTACGTTTGTAACACCCGAGAAAAGTCAAATTATCTGTCCTGTTTTGCTGCTATATTGTGTTGGTGAGCCATACAAACCAAACAATTAACCTTTAGTTTATAAGCATCTTCCCTCTGTTTCCATGTTAAATCACTTTGAAAATACATGACATTACAAATTTCTTCATCAGAATTTTTAATATTTATACGGGCTCTTTTTAGAAATCAACTGATTTAATAGGTCATTTTCTTTGCCCATTTTTTCAGAACTAAACTGGCCAAGCCTACATGAGTTCTGGAATTTCAATATTTTGTAAATTCATAACATGGAGATACACGTATTTATTCTATTAATATCCTCGAATCTACGATCCTGTTGGATAGCGTTGCTGCTTCCTACAATCCGTACTAGGAAACATTTAATTATCTAACCTACCTTTCATTTTGCTCACTACTATACTCTGAAATAAGAGCTAAAAGTTTCACTCTCAAGGATCACTATTAATTGATTGGGACTTCTTATCGTAGAACTGAGATGTAACTTTCTGCTCATCAGGTTTTGTTCTAAGGCTGTAATTTTGTCAGTTCGTATTGATTTTTAGCTCACCTTGCACATAGTACAGGTGAGCTTTTAGGATGGCTAATCAAATGCGTCCGTCCACATTTTATTCAAACGACATCTTCTACAATACCACTTGGCCAATATTTATGAAATTTGGCAGGAATACTCTTTGTATGAAACTCTATCAAATTTGTTCAAAGAATGCCATTCCATACTAAACTCTGGTTGCTATGGCAACTAAAAGAAAAAGCCTAAAATTTCTTATACTTCAAAATGGAAAGGGCTACAGCTTAGATATTTCTCACAAGGCATTAGCTTGTTGGTTTCTACAAAGTATATTCAAATTATGGTCTAGAGTTGAAAATTGATCTCTGTTTTGGGGGTTAAAGGGTTTTTTTATTGCAAGGTTATATAGACTTTCTTTGTAGGGATAAATTGAGAAAGTGTATCTAGTATTTTTGTCTCAACATACATTGTTATGAAGATTTTTCTTTTAAAGCATTAGAAAAATGAAAAGGTTGTTGAATGTGAATGTTAATTCAAAACAGAGTCAATCAGAATAGCACAAATTTGAGAGCTACAGTGAAGTTGATTTCCCCAATTCAATAATGGATTCTTCCATTAATTTCGTAATATCATCAGAAAGGAGACTGTGTCATTTCCGAAATACAATGTAAAATATTTCGGTTGTTGACAATCAAGGGGCAGGACGTGAAGTGGTTGCACACTTGGTTCAAGCGAGCAAATTGGTTGCAAACTTGACAAAATGGGGAACACGGCGTGATTTTTTTAAACGGATGAACGAATTTTTGCCAGGCAAGTGGGTTTCTCTGTTAGTTTGAAGTTCATTAGTATGTATATTCAATTATGCAATATATATGCCACACTCGGTTAAAGGTTTCAGCATCCTAGATTCTGTTTTGACGAAGTTATTGAAGATATAAACTGATCATGTAGATATTTTGAAATTTGACATGTGACTGTTCTGGTCAGTTTTTCTACTAACTTATTCGAATTTGTAAGTTTTGAACTGCATTTAACAATAACAAAATATGTTTCTGTCAATTCTGTAGAAATGGTTTAGTTCGCAAGTACGAGGATAACGTTCAATACACAAAAATATCTTGTTCAAGCACATTTTCGTTGCAGACTTACTTCAAGCATTTTTGGTTATTCTTATTCTATTGAAATCCATAGTAAAACATTGCAAAAGGAGTGTAGAAGGTTATATTTATTAACCTATTTTCAATGGCAATTATTGACATTTGTGTTCTGTTACTTGTTTTTAAATGTTATTTATACTTTCTACTTTTACAACAATTAT